GAATATTAGCTAGTTATAACCTAAAATAAATAAATAAATAAATAAAGGATCCCCAAGAGTGTGAACCAAAAACATTTAGTTGAAGATGTGTAGTTTGTGTGTTGTATAATTATAATTAAAATAACTGTGCTTAATTATGTGCACTAAAAATGTAAACAGTAGATAGTAACAAATTGGTTAGGGATGTAAATATCTTAGTAAATTCCCTTTCCAAATTTCTTTATAAATAAATAAAGAAATGCTGTTATAGAGCCCAGAAATATCTTTCCCTCCTTTTATGTCATGTGAACTTCTTTTTCCACTGGCAAACCAACTTCTAGTGACTTTACAGACTTGCCTTTACCTACCCTCCCCATGTTGGGTACATACATAAGGAAGGGACAGTTACTCACCATGAGATCTGTTTTCTTTGATTACAATCATTTATTCAATATCTAGCACCTTAATTGTACCTTCTCTGTAATTCACGCAATTTGATTTTCTCTCCTACTTTGTCAGCTACCCGGGGTCACGTGCTATTACTCCTACAGTAAGGTTTGATTGTGGTTGTCCTTTGGGATGACTAGAAGAATGGTGGCTGGCATCTCACATCATAGAAAAGGAAGTTATCCTACTCAAAGACTGACAAAATGATTGATGACTGTGATTCAAAAGTACAGAAAAGGGTGAAGATTTTAAATCACTGGGGCCATCCTTCTTTGATGTGCTGGTGCTAGGCTCTCTATTAGTTACTGCTCTATTCTTTTCTCTGCTTTTAAGAACTTAATCAGTGCCTCTAACAATATCCTTTCTCTGGTCCAAGCATTTCTGAAATTAGACTGGGGTGATAGTATTAACACAGCTTCTTTTTTTTTCCTCCTCAAGTCTAGCAAATCCCTGATAAAACAAAATTACTAATTTCAAATTTAATCCTGTTGAGATTCATCCATACCAAATTAAAATATTTTTGTATTTGTGTATGTTTGTGTGTGATGTGAATGTTATGCAAGTTCATATATTAGAAACCTAGATAATAAAAGACTCTAAGAACTGAAATAGCAAGTTGAAAGGTAAACCTGAGGGCAACTGGAAACAAAGTACAAATGGAACAGAAAGGTTAACCTTTGAGAGTGTGGAGATAACTCTGTAAAACATCTTAAAAATGAAAGATATATTTAAAACACAGAGATGGGGTTGGAGAGATGGCTCAGAAGTTAAGAGAACTGGCTGCCCTTGCAGAAAGCTCAGGTTAGATTTCTAGCACCCACATGGTGGCTAACAAGCATCCATAATTCTAGTTCCAGGGAATTATGATGTCCTCTTATGACCTCCACTGGCATTACATGACATAAGTACAGGAACACAACTATAAGCAATACATTCATATACATAAAATAATAATAATAAATAAATAAATCACAGAGATGGAACATCTAAAATTCTTAGTGGAAACTCAGCTTTCTTGAATGCTGTAATACAGGGTGATTTTGTTTTCTGTGTGGTTGACAAGTTATTTTTGGAGTAGAGAATCTGAATGGTGACTTTGGTTTCTCAACTTGCATAAACCACATTTTGTATTTTTGTTAGCATTATTCATAGTTTTTACAGCATATAAACATAAGTGTATGTTAAAGTGGAAATTAAAATAGAACTCTAAATAGCAATATATATTGATAAAGGATCTCTTGGGTCTGGAAATGAAGAACTGATGAAAATAATTCGCAGTAGACATAGTAAGATGAAAGCGAAGGAGGGGGAAAGGCAAGAACTCCTGGAGGTTTTTACTGAGAGTGGCTGGCAGTTTCATGTGGAGTGGAATAGTATTGAGAGCTATTGATTGGTAGAGTACAATATTCCTATCCATAGTAATTTAATAACTTTTGGTCTCATGTTGGGCCTTTGGCTTTAGTCTCTTCTTTAAAATAATTTTGATAACTATAATAGTGGTTGTCCTTTCAAGTCCCAATATTCTCTACTTCTTTGAGATTGCTAAATATTACAGGTATATCAAATTTTCTTCAGACCCTGTATTTTTGTTGGATTGTTGAAATCTCTTGTATTTTTAAGGAAATTTAGAGTACGACAAAATGACAGAACACACTGTGCTTACCTACATTTATGTCCTTTCATGGTGAGACAGTTGAAATTCTGCAACGTTCTAGTAAGTTTGAGAGAAACATTCCCCAAAGATCATTTCTCTAGGACTTTTGTTGCTGTGAATGCCAGCCTTCATGTCAAGTGGCCAGGCAGTGAATAAAAAATCAGGCTACTAAGAATTCATGATTAGTTTTTGTAAGTTTTATGCTAAATGGATCACTTTAGAGAGTCATTTTGCATGGCTGTGAAAAAATACTTCAGAAAGCAGGATAAAGGAGAAAAGTCAGAAGATCGCATCCATTGCCACCTATTCCCCAGCTGAGGTCACGAGATGAAGCATCATGGTGGAGAACAAGTGATAAAGCAGAGCTGCTAGTGTTGTGGCAGCCAGGAAGCAGAGAGGGGGGCAGAGGAAGGAAGAAGAGGGAGAGGGAGGGGAGAAGGAAAGGGGAAAAAGGGAGGGAAGAAGGGAGGAAGGGGAGAGAGAAAGGGAGGTAGGGAGGGACAAAGTGACTTTGGATCAGGCCAAGATATACACACTTTAAAGAAACCACCTGGGACATACACTCTCCCACCAGGCCTCACTTTCTAGTTCCCATCACCTCTCATCAACACCATTGAATTAGATTTATCAGTGGATCAACCTGTTGGTGAAACCAACCCTGTCATCATCCAACCCTTCTCCAAGGAACAATTAAGTGGCAACTAAGCTTTTAACACACAAGCCTTCACTGGACATTTTCAGTTAAACTGTAACATACTGTCTAGTCTTTAATCGGCACATTTTTCCTTGTTGCTCAACTGGCCGTGGTGAAGTGCTCAACATTTTATTGTATTCCAAACTTTCAGATAGTTACAAAAAGATATATAAAGTTACAATGGCTATTAACTGTCCAGAATTAATAATTATTAACAATGCCAGATTCCTTGTTTCTTTTTTAAGGAATTTGAACTTTAAATAAACACAGAGCCAACTTCTCATTTGAATAGTATTCTTTCACAGAAAGCAGTGAGGCATCCTGTGTGAGAAGTGTGTTTGCTGAAGGCCTGGGAAGCAGGCATGCAGCCCTGCTCACCCTCTGGAAGCTTCTGAAAGCAGGTGGTAGGCCACCTATCCACACTTATCCTCAGAAAGCACTTGAGAAGGCTTCTTTGAGGTTATTACTTAGAATCGCCATAAAAACAGGCCTCAGGCAGGCACTGATAATTGTCCCATACAGGTCTGATGGTCTAGGTCTTCCCATGTAGCCTGGCCAGCATGCAGTCTTCAGATTCGGACTGGTACTTCACCCTTACTCACTGGCCCATCTTGGACAGACTGCATTGATCCCACCATTGTGCACCCCATTAAGTCACAAATGTCATACCTTACTACCATCCAAGCCAAACCTTACCTGGTTTGGTTACTAGAGTGGGTCTGTCATCCCTGCAACACATGAAAATATTGGCAGGGATCCTGCCTGTGTACAGGGTTAGGCACTTCAAGCCCAGAGCCACATGAGAACCTGACTACCTAAAGGAGCTGCAACCCATCTGACAGGTGGTCACCTCTCTGTGTTCCATGCCTCTGACAGGTCTCTCTGACTTGGAATATATCTGTGAGTATCTGCCCCACTAAGGATAAAAAAAAATCAATTTAATAACACAAGAAGCATGAAACAGCAACATCATATTCTACATCCAAAGGAACACATATGTCCACTGAAACAACAATAACAAAAACAAGAATTGTTCAAGTGACTGAAAAAAAGCCTCAAAATTATGATTTTAAGAAAGCACAACAAAATGTGAGAATAAACAGACAATTCAATAAAATTAAAGTATTTCATGACCAGGAGTGGTGATAGAGAGTACTAGCCATAGCACTCAAGAAACTAATGCAGGGGGAGTGATACCAACAAATACACATTGGTTCAGACCAGCCTGGGGTATATGGTGAGATTTTGTTTCAAGCAAAGCAAATAAAACAAAGCAAACACAACAAAACAAAAAAGAAAAAAAGAAATTAGAAAAACCAAAAGAATGAAAGGAAAATAAAGAACACAATTCGTTATTTGAATTGAAATATAAAGAAGAGGCCAGGTGTGATGGCACACACCTTTAATCCCAGCACTCGGGAGGTAGAGGCAGGCAGATCTCTGTGAGTTCAAGGCCAGCCTGGTCTCCATGGTGAATCCAGGACAAATAGAAATCTTGGATGGAGCTAAAGCACTCAAATTAGTAAAATAAAAACTAAAACTTAGAGCCTTAACAACAGATTAGGCTGAAGTAATAATTTATGAGCTAAAAGACTAGTCTTTTAAATTTACATAGATAAACAAGAAAAAATTAAAAGGAAGACTGAAGAAAGTTTATGAGATATATAGGACAGAATTGAACAAAGATATTTTTCGTCCCATGAAGGAACAAAGACAGGAAAAACATACAAATATATCCAATTTCTTTAGAAATAAGTAGATATCCTGGCCTAAGAAACTCAGAGGATCCTTAACAGACTACGTCACAAAGGGTGTTCTCCATGGCATATTATCAACCACCAAAAGTCCAAGTCATCCATTTTCCTACAAATGTTGGAACTTCATTCTGATGCAACTGGAAATAATCATATCAGGTGAAATAAGTCAGTCTTAGAAAGATAAACATGGCATGTCTAATCTCTTTTGTGGATCCAATATTTTATATAGATCCATAAATCATGTATATAGATATGACATAAATTAGAAGCAAAAATGTCCAGGAGAACAAAAGTGAAATTGGGATGGAGCAGAGGGAGAAATGGGTAGAAAGAAAGGGCAGTAAAATTGAAGGAATGTGCCAATATAAAATATATAATTGTATAAAAAATCTTTATGTAAAACAGTATCATGTATAATAAATATTTACAATGAATTGTTTTTCTTTTCCTTTTTTTTTTTTTTAAATTGGGGAGAGTGTGAACACAGTTCTGCACTCTTACAAATTATGCAGTTGAGTTTCCTATTTGGGGAAATCACAGGAGTCCGCACACCTGAAGTGTCATGGATAAGCCTCATCCTGGAACCACTTTCATGTCCCTGGTATCTCCCATACTAGGTAAGTATTAAAATATTTTTTTAAAAGAACAAAAATGACCAAGACAAAGTAGAAATTAACAACAAACAAACAAAACCCATGAGAATCACGTCACCTACAGGTGGATTACCATTTGACAAATAGCAGACTTCTTAGCAGAAATTTTGGATGCCAGGAGAAAAATAGTATGATGTATACAAAGTTCTGAGTAAAAGCAAACAACAGTATGAAAACCCGAATAAAGAAAACATCAATGCTGATATATGAATATGACATTCGGCAAAGCTATCCTTGAAAAATAAGAAATTAAGTATTTTCCAGATAAACACAATTGAGGAAATTCATTACTCCAGACCAGCTTACAATAATTACATAGGCATGTCCTACCCAAGAAGAAAAAGGATCAACTACTATGGGTGTGCGGGTTTCGCGGAACACCAGCTGCTGGCTGGCGCCTGTCTCTCCCCCACCGCTGGGGCTGGTCCCGCGAGCTGCGTTGCTGGGGTGTGCGCATCGCGCACCAAGTTGCTGAGGCTCTCTGGGGGCTGGCGGCTCTAGAGGACCGCTGTCAGTCGCCCGGTCGGGTTTCGTTCTACACTACTGGGCACTCCCTCTGGGTTTGAGATCCGTCAGCGGCCGGGTCACGAGGGGAGATGCGAGAATGGTGAAAGCAGGGTCTCCGTGAGTCATGGTTTACAAAGGGACAGCCCTCTCCGGAGAGACTGGATCGTAGGCAGTAAGACACAGAACTCAGCTCAGTCAGACTCAGTGGTACAGCTCCTTTAATCAGTGACTCAGCTGGGCTCCAGGTCTTAGTGATTCAGCTTTGATTAATTAGGGGAAACCAGGATATTGATACTATGGGGGCAGTGGCAAGAGCCTTAGTGGATAGGTGCTTTTAGGATGCCCTATTTACATGTGGTGGTGGGCTTCTGCCAGGCTGCCAGTCATTGCCTGATTATCACACAGGAAAACCTGGCAGTTCCTATGCCAGAGGCCATGTTTTTGGTAGGGCATCTGTGCCGGGTACTTCAAAAGGTGAGTCAGGAAGAGAGTAGGAAGGCGCCCTGCTGAGAAAAGGAGTCTGCATAAACACCGAGCCCCTTGGGCTATCCGGACATGGAGAGACTTCGACTTAACACAGCAGGGGTCCCCAACAAACTACTATCAGGGAAACATGGGAAAGAATCAAACTCACTAGGAGGGCAGATTAAAAAAGAGGAAAAAAAAACCCCAAACTTTATCAATTTATAGACCCACTAAAACAAAAGATGAATAAGAAAGGAAGAATAGGAAACATATAAAACAATCAGAAATGAATGAATACAACGATGGGGTAGCTCTTTACTAATCAACAATAACCTTGAAAATATACAGATTAAATTCTTCTATGGAAAGCCAATTTTAAGATTGATCGAATAGATTGAAAGAAAAAAAAAAGCTGCTTATGTTTGCCCAGAAGAAACTCGCTCTACTAGTGGGGACACACATAGCCTGGAAGGAAAGGGATGTGAAAAGTCAGTAATAAAGGAATTAATTCAACAAGAGGAAATAATAACATAGTATACTTATATCAACTTCTGTAACTCTTACTCTTATGAAAGGAATAATATTTGACCAAAATGAAGAGATGGATTTGGATATAACATGGCTAAAACTCATATCTATCCAAATTTCATCAATGGAAAAATCATCCATGCAAATTTTAATGAAATAAACCTTGGAGCTAAACTATAGCATAAAACAAACAACAGAACTAACATCTACAAATCATTTTATTCAAAGGTGACAAATATACATCATTTTTATTACCACTTGAGGTATTTTCTGATTAAGATGATATGTCACAAAATAAATCTCAAATATTTATCTTCACTAGTCAAAGTAGAATGAAGATGGACATTAACATCAACATTAAAACTTGTACAAGTACACTGAAATTAAAAGACATACTCTTGAAAGTCATATGGATTAGTGAAATAATTTAAAATTTTTAAAACTTTCCCCCCCCAAATTATTGGAGGAAATGATAGGGGGAAACACTATACTCAGTCCTTTGGGCTATAACAAAAGGGAACCAAGACAAATAAGTGGCTACATAAAATACAGGAAAGTAAAAATTTCAAATTAAAAACAGAAGGTTGTATTTCAATTTCTAGAAAAATAAGAACAAGCCAGACAAATTATTATCCTAAAAGAAATATAAAGCATCACAGGACTGGGGATCACTTGCTGCACAAGAATGAGGGCACGAGTTCAGTCCCTGATACCCATATAAAAATGCCAAGCGTGACAGTGTGTACTGTAACCCCAGCACAGGAGAGGCAGAGACAGGAGGATCCTGGTTAATTTAAATGAACTGGCTAGCTCCAGATTTGGTGAATGACCCTGTTCCAAAAATTAAGGTGGAGTGTTGCAGTCTCCCTGCAGGTCCAGCCTAGGGGAGACTCAGAGTTCTGGCCGGGAGTGGGTGAGCAGCGTGGAGTCAACAAACAGACACCAGGAGTTGGGCGGAAGCAGGCACTAGGTGACATGCTGCAGACTCATTTATAGCCAATATGTGACTGCCTTATATACCCCTCTCCCAATATCCCATTGGCCCCAGTAGGCCTTCTCGGGTCATGTTTGATCCTCATTGGCTCTCTATGTCGAGCTATCTTGCATCAGCCATCTTTATATCCTTTGGCAGAATACAGGTTTGACTCAACCGGATGTTTTTGGTGCATTTGCAGCACGCATGCGCTGGTTGTTCAGCCCGCACTTCCTTTTACATATCTACCCTTTTTGTTTTTAAATGCAGAGCTTAACACAGTGAGAGCCCAGGTTCTATAGCCCAGACATTTTTGGCCTCACCTCTGGTGTCCCGACATTTGACTGTGCCTGTCTTAGGTTGTCCTGATTAGCAGGATCTTACCCGTCATTGACTAACCAGCCACTGAGGGGATAAACCAGGGAGTGTTAGCTAAAGGTCGTAGGGGTCAGACTATCAAATCTTGGATAGATGACAACCAGGCATGCAACATTTGTGGAGGAGGTCCACAAATGGTCTTGCTCCATCGTAGACGATAGCCTGGAGAACTTGAATGGTAGCTCTCTTAATTTGCTTTTGTGATTGGGTATATTTTAAGAGACATCTAGAAAGGAGTATAATTAATATTCCCACCATTCCTATGATTCCCTATGTAACTATTCCCACCAGGCTGAAGATACCCTTGAGGCGATTCCAAACTTGAATCCTCTAGTCTTTAAGAGTGCCTTGAGTGCTGCTGTTTGTGGCTACCTGCATTTTGGTGGAAGATTGCCCATCATGGGAGCGCTTGGTGAAGGGATTCTCACCACAGAAGTAGAAGGCAAGGGTAACCACTAAAAAGGCACAGATAGAGCAGATGAGGACTGTGAGCCACTCCAATGTGAACCTTCCCAACATGAAAAGGTGTACTGGATCCAAGTGTCTTGTGTTTAGTGAGGGACTTCTGAGGGCCATGACACCCTTGTGTATGCTCACATGGTGTCTCCAGGACAGGGAACAGGATCGTCCTAGCTCTGGGCTCTGAGTTCGGGGTGGATCAACCCTTATGTGAACTCACCGGGACGAGCCAAGAAGTGAAAGGGACCGACGTGGGCTTCGGGACCATGCTGCAGAGTGTGCCTTCCTGATCTAACAACAAATATGACAAACAGGGTAGAGGGGACAGAGGAGAGGGGCACTCACTCACCCTCGAGCAGCCAAAGGTACAGACAAAATCCGGGGCCTACTCACTGAACTGGGGGCGTTGCCAATGCCGAGGGTGCCGAGGGTCCCGAGGGTCCCTGTTCAGGTGCCAGATGTTGCAGTCTCCCTGCAGGTAAAGCCTAGGGGAGATTCAGGGTCCTGGCTGGGAGGGGGTGAGTGGCGCGGAGTCAACACACAGACACCAGGAGTGGGGTGGAAGCAGCCACTAGGTGAGGTGCTGAAGACTCATTTATTGCAGATATGGAGCTCCCTTATATCCCCCCTCCCAGTGTCCCATTGGTCCATTGATAGGTCGTGTTTGTTCCTCATTGGCTCTCTGTATCAGGCCATTTTTGTGTCCACCATCTCTATGTCTTTTGGCAGAACACAGGTTTGCCTCAGCTGGATGTTTACCATGCTTGCTGCATGCATGCTCTGGCCGCCCAGGCTTCACTTCCTCCTATGTATCCATCCTTTTTGTTTTTAAGCTTTATGGAACTCTAGTGGGAGCCAAGATTCTTCGCCTCGGCTTTGTTGGCCCCACCTCAGGGGTTCCCCAGTATTATGGACCATGCCTGTCTTAGGTTGGCTTGCTAAGCAAGCTCTTACCCGTCATTGACTACTGGCCCTCAAAGGGTGATCCCCTGGAAAGAGTCCACCGGGTGTTCAAGAGGAAGGCAATTATATCAAGGCTTTATGAGTCTCAGTGAGCCAGGCCTGCAGGACCTCACGGGGAAGATCATGGCCTGTGTGTTGAAGTGCCAAGAGGACCTGGAGTGTGGCTCTGTTGATGCATTTTTGCCATCGGGCATGCTGAAAGAGACACTTGATAAGGCTGAGTAGGACCAAAAGAATTCTTCCCAAAGAGGCATATGTGAATAACCAGGATGGTGAAAATAGACTTTTAATGTTATTCCAGACAATGGAGAAGAAAACACCGTTGAGGGTCAAAATAGGACCTTGTGTATAATTTAACTGGATTATTTGGTCATGAAGGAGAATGGAGTAATTAAGGAACTGTTGTGACCAAGAGCCCTTGATGTACTTACTGGGTGAGTCATGTCCTGGCAACAGTCACATTATCCACACAGTATGGGGTTAGGCATAGGGCCTTGAAATGCAGGTCACAAGCAAGTAAAGTCATGTCTCACACAATTTGCAATTCTTTTCCCAAGAGGTCAACTTGTAGGATATGAACTTCCCGGTATACATGCGGATTAATAAGATCCCATGTGTGCAAAACCTCCGCCGAATATGACACCACTTGGTTCAGTGTCTCAACAGTAGTTGCTGTCTGTGTCAATGCCACAGCAGCGG